CACTTCTTTCTGTTGTTAATTTCGATCTTCGGTTTGTGTCTCTAATCGTTTATTGTATTTTTTTAGTTTTCGATTTTTTCAGGCCTTTGTTATCTCTTTGAACGGAAATAAATCTCAACATGTTTACAAAAAAACTAAGTACGTTGTTGAACTATACTAAACATTAAACCTCCAAAAGCCTAAAAGAAATGATTTACAGAGTCTGCCAAAATCGAGCTTGGATTATCTCATCGTAACATCTTTAGATAAAATGTACTTTTTTTTGCATATACTATTTTCAACCATGTAAATATGCATGTATACATAGAGAGGTGATTTTGAAATGTGGTATGAAGTCAGATGTGTTTGTCTCGATATCTGAAGGTGCGTGTCTGCTACGGAATCAATATTTGTTGTACGTTATTTATTTATTTGTCAATTTGTTGTACGTTTAGTGTAGACAATTTTTCTTTTTTGTCGAAGTTAATTAGAAAGCGACTCTTAGTTCATCTGGTTTAGCTTAAAAAACATAAATACATAATACTTGGTGAATGCAAATTAATTGCACGCATTAGTTGCATATTGCAGTAGAGACTGTATCTAACTTTCAATTTGGATTCGAAATTGTAAAATTTCTAACTAACTTTCAAGTGACGGTCACACAAAAAAAATGTCCTAAGTATATGACTCTACTTGTCAACATATGTCTTACACTGAAGTCACATGTTTATATTTTAACATTTTTATAACAAGAAAATGAAAGATATGTAAAATAATATAGCTGCAAAGTGAGACCCCACGCACGGTTACGTGTGAGAATTTGAAAACCATACATATAAATAAGGAACGTAAATATCAAAACTCGACGTAGTTTCTTGGGGAGGAAAAGAATAACCAAAACTAGTAATGTGATAAACTAATTATTTTTTTCTCAGGATCAGTTTTGAACGTAACTAATTATGCAAACGCTAATGCTTATTGATCTCATTTCACACCAAACATCTATAACCAAAAGTAGAGACTAAATTGATGATTAGTAACCAAAAACAGCAGCGTATCGATGAGATCGTGAAAAGGACAATTAAATGCAAATGTCAAGGACGAAGGACAGTACTCTAACCAAATAAGGCTTCCCCAATTAATATGCCTGCCACTGCAATTATGTATGCACATGCATCTGCATGCACGTCCCAAAGCCCATCCG